CTTTGAACTAATCAAGACAATAATTTTCAGTTAGTGGTTTAATCATAATTGAATTGAGATCAACTTGATTATAATTAAAATAATATAATTTAATTAAAATATATAAAATATTTATATATGACCATGATAAGTGCAATATTTAAATAATTAAGACATTAATTTATAAGCAAAAAAAACACTTATGAATAAATTACATATAATATAATAAAATAGTAACAAAGCTACTTAAGTATAAAGTTGATAAGTTATTTTTTTTATTTTATTCTTTTAAAGTTAAAATAATATTTTATACTTAACAAAATTATTTTAAAATTAAAATTTGTTTAAAAAATAAAGGAAAAATATTTTTCAAAAGTTTCGGGTATTCATGCCTGCCCAAATAAGCCTGAAGCTTGAAGGTGTTAGGACTTAGCTTGGCTATATGAGTTTTTTAAAAAAGGTACGATACTTTAAGCTCAATTCAAATTGAGCCAGATCCGAATAAGTCCGGCTTGCCTAAATCACTGGTTCTAATTTTTTCAATATCTTTCATACAACACAGTTATAAAAAATTCAATTTTTTTAAATTAATTAAAGATACATCTTGATATTATTCCTTAATTCACTAAATCTTTTAAGAATTGTTACCATACAATTTAGAAAATTAACATACATTCATATAAGATGTATAGATATCTGAATATAGTAACATTTGTAAACACATAATGTCAATTAAGTTTGGAAATAACTATGACTATCAAGACGGCTCATCTTCATGCTTATTTAAAAAAATATTAAAAAAATAAAAAAAACATTTAAAATGCATCCTGGCATCATAATTCCTTTGTTCCAGGTTGTGAATTCTTTCTTGGCGCCTCCGCCATGGAACAAAGGGTGACCCCATACACCCTTACATCAGTACATCACCGTCGTCCAGTGCCACTATTATGCATGGTAAGTAGCAATTGACAAATTTTCTTAGTCGTCGAAGCTTTCCTAAAGTCTAGGCCCAAATCTGAAAGCAAAATTCAGTTGTTAGCCTTTTCCTCAATTATAATTTAAGTAAAATAAATGCAACTTCCTTTCTATTTTATTTAAAATATAAAAATTTATCTTCTATTTTTAATTTTAAAATATACACTTTAATTCAATTTTTTAATGTCATTATAAATATCCTATTATCATATATGCAATTATTTTGACAAATTTACAATAACTAATTTGATTTTTAATCAAATAAATTGTCTACTTTCTCCCTCCTCCAAATTTGCTCTCGTAATCATGCTTTGCAAATAGGTTGTGCTTAGTAGAGTTGGTAATTCTAGTAAGTCGAGCTTATTCACTACTATAAAATATATATTTTACTACCCTTAATTCACATTACTTTCTATAAATAAGATGCAAAAAATCAAAGTTGTGGTAATTTCATAAACAAATGATGTTTTTGGAAACATTTCCAAGTCACTTAACTGAAAGAAAAAAAAAATAATGTGGCTATTATTAACTACGTCGCTTTAGTAAATAAGATGTGACTTTTTAAATAATTCCGCTTCATTTTTAATGAAATAGGCATGGATTAATTAAACAAAATTATATTTTTCTTAATAATATAAAATATGCCACGTCATTTATCTAATAAACGACGTGGTTTAGTAAATCCATGTTTATATTAATTTAAGTGATGTGGAATTTTAATTTATTAATTATTCTAATTAATCCATGTCACCTATCAAGTAAAAGCGAAGTAGTTTTATTCATTTCTTAATCCACATCGTTTATATATAAAAAATGATGTGGATTATAATTTTAATTAGCTTAATCCAAATCCCATTTTTGTAGAAAGTGACGTGTATAATTTTGTACTTTTTAGCTACGTTGATTTGTAAAGATAAGTGACATTAATTGTCTTTCATTTTGAATTCTAGATTTTATTTCCTCACCCAAGACCCCTTCTTCTTTCACTTTTCATTTTCCCCCTGTTTCCTTCCCTTTCCCTTTCATCACCAAAATCATAATCTCCTCTCTTCTCACTTGTCCTCCGATGTCGAAGTCTTCTTCAGCAAGCTCGTCTCCTTCTTACTCCTGCTCCACACCATGCCTGCTCTTCTCTCTTCCTAGCCTCGCTGTGGAGCTGTCAATCATTCGCCCTTCCTTTCCTAGTCAACATTGATATGTTTTAGTAAGGTGGAGTTGCTAGATTTCCCTTTTATTCACCATCATATCCTCTCTTTTGTATTAGCTTCATTGACGCGTGGGAGTTGTTGCACGAGCTCTTCATATTCCTTTCCTCCTTATCTGCTGAGTGTTGTGCGTGTGGTAAGCTTGTTGCTCCTCTTCTCTTTCATTATTGTTGGCCGTGCAAGCTTGAAGCTTCAATTCTGCAAATTTTCAAACATTCACCCCCTCCTTTCTTTGATCATCATTGAAGCAAATTTGGCTTATATTATTAAATTTTTAGTGAGGGAGGGAAGGGATTTTTATGTTACTTTATTTAGTTCAATAAGAGAGAGGAAGAAAAATAATTATATAGACAACTTTACCATTATATTATTAAAGTTGTTTTTTTCTATTAAAATATAATTATGAATGTTTTTAACATATAATTATAAATATGTATAGCAATTATCATTATTAAATATATTATTAAAAATATGTCATTATTGAATTTGTTTAAAAAGATGAAGAGTAATAATTAAAAAAAAAATATTAATCATTACGCAAGAAAATTAAACCCCTCCCCTTTCAATTCCCCCAATTTGGAAGGGAGGGTTTAGAGAGAAGGGGAGATTTTTTAAAATTTTTTCTTTCTCTCCCCTCCACTTTTTCAAACCAAACAAAGGGAGAGAAGCAATGGAACTTCACTCTCCTCCCTTCCAATCAAACAATACTTAAATTATTATTTAATAGAACTTAACTCTCATTTAAAGCATGTCAAATTTTTCCCTCTATAAAGATCACTGAAAATTGAGAAATGCCCTTCACAAAGAAATTTGTTAATTTTTTCAATGTCGCGAAGCCACGCCGTCGTGTAGGGTGGTTCTTGAGTCAGAGTTAAGCAATTGTGTTCTTCTTTAATCTTTATGATGTTGGCTTCTGCTTCTCATTCTTCAAAGCACAGATTGTTCTGTCTGATATTCTAATATATACTCCTCTGGTGGTTTGTTTCTCAAAGTCAAAACCAAACTATTGAAAGCATTAGAGCAAAGGAAAAGTTTGGTTTGCAAGCGTGCTTACTTGTGATTGCACCAACGACGCTCGTTCGACCTTCCTCATCCTTTCCTTCGACCTTGGTATGTGTCAATGAAACAGAGTCCAGCATGCACAATTCCTTGCTTGAGATCCATATAACTGCCCGATCGCTCTCTTTAATGGCGTTCTTGCTCTGTTCTGTCTAACGGGCCATAAGCAGCAGGATTGATGCCACTGACGGTTTAAAGTACAAGGATTTAACAAAAAGAACAAAAAGTCAATGAAAAATTTGGCGAAACTGTAAGAGATCGCATATTAATTTTTACTTTTTTTTTTTAACATTTAGAAAACTTATGACTGCCAAGTTGATTCTTTTTTTCATAAATCAGTTCATCATCATCCGATAACAACTCTATTACAGTTATAAATATTTTCAAAATTTTTTAAATTAATTAAAGATACATCTTGGTAGGGCTGTGCAGGTGACCTGATCAGCTCAATCTTATTGGAGCCAGTAGTGGGCTTGGGTCAATCCTAGCCCTGTCTGCCTCAGCCCAAAATTATTTGTATATTCTATTTTTTTTTACAATTTTTTAAAACTTAATTATTTTATAGTGTTATCTTACTTAGTATTTTTATGTATTATATTTTTTTTTATGTTTGTTATAGATATTTTTGTGATTTTAATTTTTTTAATCTTTATCAATATTTGAAATTAATTTTTTTTACATTATCTCATGTAAAAATAATGAATAATTGTTAATTATATACAATTTAAAAAATTATTACTTTAAATTCTAACATTAATTTTAAAAAATCCATTTAAATAATTATAGTTATAATTTTTTATTAGTTGATAAAATTATTTTTAAAAATATTTTTTGGGCATCAGGCCAAATTCGCCCCGCTTCCTAAATTTGTGTATCGGTGCACCCTTACATCTTGGTATATATTTTTGATATATTTTCTGGTTTCTTTTATATTTATTTTATAATTTCTTTATTTAGAAATTAATAAAAATGATTCTGACTTTGCTAAAAATGAGTATTCACATAAAGTATTTATGTCAAAAGCATCATGAAAAAAATATAAAAGATTAATTTGTAAGAAAGACCTCCCAATATCATAAATTCGCAATGGGTCCCTATAGTTTTATAAGAAAGGTCAGAAATAATTTTTTTTTGTTTTCAATTTTTCTTTTCTTAATGAATATAAATTTTCATTTCTAATAGCCTTAATTAAAGAAAGTTGAAAGGTGTTCATCTATACAATCAAAGTTCATTGTTTCAACTCAAAAAAAATCAAAATTCAATGTCAAGTTTCAATATATATTATTAATTCTGATTTCAATTTTGTTGTCGAAAATAGATGATTTTAAGATTTTTTTTTTACTATTTAGAAGACTTATAACTGCCAGGTCGATTCTTTTTCATAATTCAATTCATTGTTATCCGATAACTACCCTATTTCTCAGTATCTTTCATACTGTACGGTTATGAAGATTTTTTTTAAAAAAATAAATTAATTAAAGATATATCTTAGTATTATTCCTTAATTCACTAAATCTTTTAAGATTTTTTTTTGGACAAAAATCTTCTAAGATTTGTTATCAAATAATCCAGGAAATTAAATATCATAACATTCATATCAGATGTATAGATATACGAAGTTAGTAAAATCTGCAATCACATAATTTCAATTAAGTTTGGAAACAACTATGATCATCAACATGTTAGCTTCATCCTAAATTTTAAAATATTATAAAAAAAATAAAAATATATTTAAAAGGCACCCTGGCATCATAATTCCTTTGTTCCAGGTTTCGAATTCTTTCCTGCCTCTACCATGGAACCAGGGGTGACCCCACCCACCCTTCCATCACCGTCACCCGACACCGGTGCTGTTATATTTGGTAAGTATCAATTGACAAATTTTCTTGGTCGAGGAAGCTTTGCTAAAGTCTACTGCGGACGATCCTTAGCGGATGGCTCCATCGTTGCAGTGAAGATTATAAACAAACAAACTATTAAAGCTTCAATGGAATCTAGAATTGTTAGCGAGGTCAATGCAATGTGTCGTCTCCACCATCATCCGAATATCCTCAAAATATACGAAGTTATGGCCACGAAGACCAAAATTTATCTCATCATCGAGTATGCAGCTGGTGGCGATCTCTGTTCAGAAATCATATCCAAAGGCCATTTGACAGAGAGATTAGCTCGCCGTCACTTTCAGCAATTAGTGTCTGCTTTATGTTTCTGTCATCAAAACGGTGTCGCTCACCGCGATATCAAGCCTCAAAACCTTCTCTTGGATAAAGATGGCAATTTGAAAGTCTCGGATTTTGGGCTTTCTTCCTTATCAGAAAATCTCAGAGATCATTTACTTAGCACAGCTTGCGGTACTCCTGTTTACACTGCACCTGAAATACTCCAACGGCAAAGCTACAATGGCTCCCTAACTGACGCCTGGTCATGCGGCCTCATACTATATATCATGCTCACCGGATATCTCCCGTTCAATGACTATAACATCCCGATGATGTGCAGGAAGATTAGTATGAGAGATTACCAGTACCCAAAGTGCATTTCGAAGTCGGCACGCCAGGTGATCTACAATCTACTTGAACCAAACCCAATGAAAAGGATGAGCCTAGAATCGCTGTATGAGATACCGTGGTTCAAGAAATCGATGGAACCAGAAATCGAAAGGAGTATGTTGAGATTGGGATGGGATTCGTGTGAGAAATCTGAAGCGGGATTGAATGCTTTTGAGATAATATCGTTGTCTCGGGGTTTGGATTTGGGAGGCTTGTTCGAAATGAGATTGGACAAGATGTTCACATCGAATGCAGAAAAGAACGTGGTAGTGGAGAAAGTGAAGGAGATTGGATTGGGTTTAGGGTTTAAGATTGAAGAAGGCAAGAATGGTTTGATTGGGTTGGGGAAAGGAAAAGTGGCAATAATCGTTGAAGTGTCTGAAATTGTGAAAGATTTGTTGTTGGTGACCATGAAAGTGGATGAAGGTGGTTTGAATTTTGAGAATTACTGGAACGATTGGAAACGTGGACTTGAAAACATTGTTCTTTCTTGGCTCAACGAAGCTCCGTGAATGAATATGAATATAATGAACCGTGATGAAAACGGTCAGGTCAAGGCTTGCTTTCTGATGTTTTCCGGTGAATAGAATTCCATACTGTGTTTGGTGGGGTGGGGATGATGTTAAGTTTCAAAGAAGGCAAAAAAAAAAAAAAAAGGAATGAATAACTAGCTTGCATTGCGAATGAATTCGTTTTTCTGTTTGTTCTTGAGTAGTCTTTTCTGTTTGTTCTTGATATTCTCTCTGATTATATATATAATCGCTTTTCCCGTCTGGTTTGATCAACTTCAAGTTTATAAAAGCTTCATTTCTCAAGCATGTAATGTCGCTACGTGCTTGAGAAAGCAAATAATGATTATGAATGGATGAAAACATCCAGCCCTGCAAATTTCATCCATCAATATGTTTCTCTCACGTTTTAGTGCTTCGCGATTATATTTGTAGTTAAATATTCCATAATACCATCACATAAATCAAAAAATTTATTCAACTGGATATTGGCAAAAGTGACATTGAGTTCTAGAAGACTTTCATATGCGTGCTTGAATATATTTATATATTAATGTAAATTTGTATACATTAGGTGAATGACACCCAAAAAGAACTATCAACTACTCAAAAAAATTGGTGTTGATGGAGTTTTATGGACTAACATATGAGGAGGGAATTGTTAAGATTTTTAAGTGTAGGTTTACTTGAATTGACCTGAGAAGTCTCTTATATATCGGATAAAGTTATTAGGATTAATAAGTAGTATATGAATAAGTGAAATGACCTTTCAACTCAAATATTAAGATTTTGATTTAAGAATTAAGATATCTCATTGTGACTGACGTTGATTACGTGTCATGTCCATAAAAGGTAATAAAGCTTGGCTTGATTTTAAGCCTTAAGCTATTAGTTGGAGGGGAGTGGGGATTTTAATGAAAAGGAAGGGAGGTGAAGAGAGGAAAGGGGAAGGAGAGGGAGGGGAGAGAAAATGTTAACCCTTTTGCCAAACAACTCCTGTATCATCCTAAAAAATTAACCTCTAATTAGTTAAGTTAAATGAGATTTATTGAATAAATTAATATGATGTGTGATTACAGAGAGCTAATGGATATTATGAATTGTAATTTCAACCCTGAGATTCAGTATAGAATGAAGTTGGCCCACCCGAACTTTAAAATAGGAGAAAAATAAAGAGAAATGATTTTGTGTCATCTACCGTGGTGCTTGCATAGCATGCTGTGGTGTACAAGTCATCAAAACAAGATTCAAATTTCTCTGTGCTATGTCGTGGTACATGTGGTAGGTGCCAAGGTGTATGGGCAAAATTTTGCAAAAATGAAATCATTTTGCAATAAAAAAAAAAGAAAAAGAGAAAGAGTTTAAATGAGAAAGAGAAAAGAACAAAGAGTGCTTTGATAGGGCTTGGAGTTTGGAAGCATTAGAAGTATCTTAAAGCTTTTAAATACTAAAAGTAAGTTTTCTAAGCTTAAATTCTCCTTCCTTTTGCATTTTTTTAATGTTGGGAGTTAGGGTTTATTTGAGAAAGATGATTTTTAATTCATAGAAGTTATGCGTCCAAACCTATTGGCTTAAATGGAGTTAATATGAGTTGTTTAAGTGCTATAAAACCTATAAAGATTAATGAATGCATTTTTAGTAGTCGAGAGCCATTAATGCCTAAAAATTCATCATTAATGTGGTGGATGAAAGTTGAGAAATGTTATCAATAGTTGTTTGAAAGTTCAATGAAGTTAATGTGACTTAATGGGTGTTTGTAAGCCTAATGGGTGTGATTAAAAATGAAGGGGTTGTGATTTAAAAAAAAATAGAAGTCTTGATTAGATATGGAAAATTTATCTTAATGAGGATATTGAAGATTGTTGATGTGAATAAATGTAGAATGATTTCAAATTGGAACAATTCAAGCTTGGAATAGCTTTGGAAATGTATATTTGATAGGTAAACCTTTGACCTATCAAATATTTGAGATAACTAGAGAAAAATCTTCTAATACTTTTATGTGTGTTAATTAATTATTTAATTATAAATTACAATAAAGAGCATATAAGGGAGGTATGATTATGTATATTGTAATAAAAAGGACGCATGGTTACCTGTATTGTGACATTTGTAATGATGTAAAATGCAAATATGCATTTTGAACATGCTAAATGGACATGATTATGACAATGATTGCCACTTGTATTTAAATTAGTTGATATGTATTAGTATAAGTTAAATATACATTAGTTACTGAATTATTGTATTTACTCATTTTTCTTTAATATTATAGGAAATAGCTCACTGAAACAAGACCGAGGAAAACATACTAATGCTTAGTATTGTTATTCTAAAATTGTAGGCTTCATTTATTTTGAGTATTATGTGTATAATTTACTTTGATATTGCCAACTAGAAGTTATCGTATTTTATGCCTACTTGCACAATGATTGCACATTTTAATTGATTTTAAATGAAACATTTTATGAGAAAATTTAATTTTTAAAATCTCTCATATTGTGAAAAATTTAAACATAAATTTTATATAGGGCAAACATAACTTTTGGTCCTTATACTTTACTTTCGCATGTTGTTTTTTGTTCCTATATTTTTTTCGATGTTTTAGGTTATTACACTTTTATTTTTCATTATTTTGGATTCTTCCATGGTCTTTATGCTTTGCTCATAGAGAGATCAAAAATAATAAAAAATAAAAGTTAAGGACCTAAAATACTGAAAAAAAGTAAAAGGACCAACATCAAAATGTGAGTAAAGTATAAGGATTAAAAGTTATGTTTACCCTTTTATGTATCTTTCTTATCTTCAAAAATCTATCCATTATCTTATTTTAAAATTTAGATGAATGATTTTAATTGAAGAATTTTGTTAGAAAATTTAGTTTTTAATTGGTCATTTAATTTTTAGAATTTAATTTAAAAATAATATGTCAATTTGGTGTATCTTCCTAATCTCCTTTTCTAATTTATAATAGAGTCAATAGCTGTAGAAAAATGATTTTCAATATTTTTTTGAGTGTGAAATAATCACATTTACAATATTACTATGAATATCTACTTTATTTACTATTAATAGCCAATAAAATATCATCTACAATTACTTCATAACTTCCTCTCCATGATTTACCATGATTTTTTATTTTTTAAACATCTAATCATGTTTTAAAATTTTTCCGTTTGGACGAATTTTTTGTTCCTTCTACTTACAGATTTTAGGTTATATACTTATATCTAAATTTTATTTGCAAAATTTTAAATAATTATTCACATTTTAAAATTTCATTGCCTTTATAATATCATAGTGAATTTTAAATTTTTCTTGCACTTTAAATTCTAACTACCTAGCCATCAAATCGAAGTTTAGATTTTGATTTCAAATAACTATCGTAACTTTCCCAACTTCTTATTTTGAATTTTAAATTTCAATTTTTAAAAAAAGTTCAAGCATCATAACTTCCCATCCCAAAATTCTCTCCACCTATTAATTATTAATACTGTAATTAAATTTGTTTTATTTTTATATTTATTTTTAATTTTTAATTTATAATAGATGTGGTGAAAAATGGGTAACTATATACATGGCATGATCATGATGTACCCACGACTTGATGATGTGCATATGTGTGACTGTGCATGCAACGTTTCTCTCATCTAAAGACATGGAACTCTTGGATATAACAAAAAAACAACACTTTATTAGAATGTCAAACTCATCAAAATTTATATTTACTTTAATTTATTAGAAGCTTTATCATTCATCAAATACAATTTTCACCAAGTTTACTTGTTATCTCAAATCATTAATATAATTATGAATTTTGTCATAAGAGATTAAAAGATCACTTTTGACTTTTGATCATATTTTCAAAAAAATAATAAATATGCTATTTTTTTTTCTCACCATACATCTAGAGACAGCTTTAATATTGTGATTTTAGAAAGATTTTCTACTAGAATGCAGAAACTTTATGGTTTTTAATATGATTTAATTTTTTTTTTCCTTTATAAGTTTTCCATGGCCTTATATTTTTTTTTTTAAAGTCAAGGTTGTTAAACTCTATATATTGAGTATACTTGAACGTAGTCTGATTTATCAAAATATCATGAGCCATTTTGTTAGACAAAACCTAAATTTTAAAATATTCTTAATCCATCTTTTAATTTCTATATGTGTGACTCATTTGATTTCTTTTTTTTTTAATATTCTCTCTACTATTTTTTTCTTCTTTTTTTTTTATTTTTTGTGGGTGGATCATTCAAGATCAATATATCTAAATTTTCTTTAAAAGCTTGGTGCGCACACATATCGGCACAATTATTTATTTCTGTTAAAACATAATTAAAAGCAATCATCCAATCTCTTAACAAAAATGATTTTCATACATGGGCGGAACCAACTTTCAATTCTCAAGGGGGCCAAATGGTTTAACTAAAAATATTGTAAATTATATAATAATATGTTAAGGTTTAGCTTGCTTTTTTAGATAAAGAAAACTTAACCAAAAACTTAAACTTTTTCTTTCATATCATTAAAATTATTTACAAAAGATTCTATGTCAAACTCTTCAATAATTCTATAAACTAATAAGAAACTAACAAATAAGATTTTTTTTTTAATTTGAGAAATATAGATTATAACATATAAATCCAAGTAGTAACAAAAACATATAAATAAAAATATTAAAAACATAAAAATACCAAAACAATACAAATAACAATCTCAATATCATTTTATCAAGAAAAAAAAAACATCTCAATTTCATATAAATTCAAATTCCAAAATCTAAAACCTATATAATATTTCATTCCAAAACATATAATGTGTCCAGTGAGTGCGCGTCAGTGTTGTGATGCCCATTTGCCGTTCATCATGCATTCTCAATATTAAATTCATTTTGGGACTTAGGATTAAAATCAAAGAAAGAGACCATCACCGTTCATCAACATTACATCATCATTCATCAAAATCAGCGAGGAACTCAGAACGCCGAACCCGGACGAAAACTGGACAGGGGTTTTGGGCTGGACCATGTATTTAAGTTGGGTTGGGTTAATTTATTTATTATGAAGCTAAGAGTATAAAACCTTGTAATTTAAAAAAAAAAAAAAAAACAGACATGGAGGCCTGAAAATTATCTCCCAACATATCTACACCCATACCTTACAAATAAAAAAACAATAAGGTAGTT